ACCCACTGTGGAGACTTTAGTGAATAATTCTGAGCATGACCCAGGGGCATATGTGTCACTTTATTTTGTTTCTTTTCCTAAACAAAGTATATTGCTAACTGCCCTTATTGTCTCCTTCTCAGTCACAGATAAAATAGCTAGGACAAAAGGAAAATTTCACCCTCATGTCTCTCCTCTGAGTGAGCCAGAGGGGATGTTGTTAAAATGTCCACCCAACCTGATTCATCCTCTAAAGACCTTGATGTTTCAGGCATGTCCATGAAATTGGGCTTCTTAATAACAGGATGTTGTCAGTTTAACTAGTGTTAAAGTCATGATAGTTCATGAATTTTAATATTACATGTTTGCATAACTGTTCTGGAGTGAATGATTTTAACCACAAAAATATAGGAAAATACAAATAAACAGATCATATCAGGAGTTAATGGGATCAGTATAAAGACAGGGGATAAAGCAGAATCACAGAAACACACAGTCTCAAATAGCTGGGCCAATAAACTAACAAGTTGGGAGCAGTACATGAAAATAAGTGATAAATCCTGCCAACATGTAAGAGTAGATTCCTCAGTTATGTTGCTTATAGAATAAAATAAAAACCCTGGTATATCCCCAGAGGAGATAGAGTAGAAAAGAAGGCAGTATGAAGTGATCCAGCTTCAGTAGGTGAGTTCTTGGTGAGAATTCTACCAGATGTAAATATTAAGCGCTCAAGAGGAAACTGTCTCTCAGCCTGCATGACACTGTAACTACAAATGCTGCCAACTAGGCACACTGTGCTACCTTGCAGTTGTGCCTAGTTACAAATGTCTTTGTTGGTTTGCAACACTGCTTATGCTTCAAACATTAGAGCTGTAGTTCAAATAGGTAATGGTGACTGGTGGAGAAGATAGAGGACAAGAGGCAAGGGACAAACTTGTAATTATTATGATCATTTTTAGAAACCTAGGGAGTAAAAACTGATTGTAAAACTGTTCATGCAATTCATTGAAACTTTATAAATAAAAACAACCCAGGCTATCTGGGCCCACTTTTTGAAAGAAGTGGTCACCCAGTCTTCATTGCATCACATCTACCCCAGGTCACTGAACTCATGTGCAGATAGCTGTCCATCACTCTTCCCAATGTTTCTGGAGACTTGAGCTCAGAAATTTATTTCAGCAACAAGTATAAGTTTATGTTGAAATTAGTCTGAGTCCAGACACATTATATTAGGAAAAGTTCCATAATTGGAGATACATTTTTTCCTTTTTGATTTTCTTGAGTTGTAGACAGGGTAACTCTGCAAAGCCATGGCTGTCCTGTAACTCACTATGCAGACCATGATGGCCTCAGTCTCAAAGAGATTGGTGTCCTACTATCTATCAAGTGTTGGGATTATAGGAATGTACAATACTAAGGTGATATTTTTATTATTTTTTATTTTATGTATTTTTTGTTTGTATTTTTTCTGAGACAGGGTTTCTCTGTGGCTTTGGATGTTGTCCTGGAACTAGGTCTTATAGACCAGGCTGGACTCAAACTCACAGAGATCTGCCTGCCTCTGCCTCCCTAGTGCTGGGATTAAAGGCCTTTGCCAACACCACCTGGTGAGATATGTTTTTTTTAATGACCTGTATATAAAGCAGAGGGAGAAAGGATGAAATGAAAAATTTTAAAGGAATCATTATTGTTTTGATGAACAGTAATACTTCTAGAAATTCTATAATAGTTTAAATTTACAAATCAATTAATATGTCCTCAATAACTGACTTATTTATTTGCTTTCATAACTTCTATTTTAAATGCTTGAACAATGTTTGTGTTCAAACACATCACCTGCATCATGGTGAGTTTTGTGTCTATTATTCTTCTATGTAAATTCTAGAGTTGAATTGGCTCATATTTGGGTTTAAATATTATCCATCGATTTGTTGATATGTGTGTGTCCCAAATGGCACAGCCCATGCATAGAAATAAGAGAAATATTTGTAATATGGGTCTCCCAGAGATTGAACACAAATCATGAGGATTACCAGCCACCAATTTTACATACTGAGACATTATGTGGTATTCATTTGTGGTTCTGAGGAATGGCTATGAACAAGTGCTTAGACCTCAGAATCTACTACTTGGTCAAAAATAAAAGATAACAGTATATAATTTTCACCAACACACAAACACACACACACAGATTTATTAATTTCCTGTTTTCTTCCATCCTTATATGACTATATTTTTACAACTTGAAAAGAAACCAATATTTTACTGACATATTTCACCTAATCTTATTTGAGTATCAACCAGAGCTCAGTATGAAAATGGTCAAAAGAAGATCCCTAAAAATAGTCTTCCAGAGTCCACATATCTGCCATGGTTACAAACCCATAGCCACATTTGGGACATACACAACACATTTTTTTCCTTATTAAAAATAAATTTTGTTGCTATTAAACTGTCTGACATCTCAAGATAATTCCCTTAGAAGGCGACAAAATAATATGCACATATCCATAGCTCATCATGCTATGTTATGAGATATAGAGTTGACTGCTTATTATACTTTTTTTGAGACATGTTTTATCTGTGTAGTTTGTACACCAGGCTGGCCTTGAACTCATAGAGATCCACCTGCCTCTGCCTCTGCCTCCCAAGTGCTAGGACTAAAGGTGTGCGTCACCCCTGACTGGCTTATTAAGCTATTTTATAACATCTCTACCATATAGAAGAAAATGAGGATTTGGATGCATGAGGTATTTGATGATGTTCTCTTTATTTAATGTTAAAACATTTGACAAAAGAGCACATATTAGGGGTACAACTTCTATCCTTGGTCTTGTACTCAGGAGGCCCAAACATGAGAATCAGGAGTTCATTTGTAGCTCTTTGTAATTACTGACATCCAAGTCAGGATGGATAACAAACAACAACTCAAGGAAATGTATAAAAATATGAAAAACAAAACCATGAACAACAACCCACTTCCACAGACAACCTTACCTGAAAAGTACAATCATATAGTCCCTGATATTTAAATAATCAATGGACAACTAGATGGCAGGCATCCTATTCTATACATTGTAGCAGAGAAATACCTAACAACCATGTGAAACTATGATAGAAGATAAACAGCAGTCACAGAAGGAATATAAGAACTGTCAAATAAACTTCAGTAAATGGATTTGACAAAAATAGAGCAATATTCAATTACTACTCCAAATGTTGCAAAACAAAAACCAAAACCACAATTGTTGATCTTCACCATTGCATTTGGTGAACATGGTAAATAAATTGCTTCCTTTAAGCTTAGGATGAAAAAGAGATGAAACAAGTTTTTTCTTGAAATTGAAGGCAACTGTGATATTTAAGATCTTTAGCAAGTCATTTACATGAATATGCATTTTAAAAATCATGTATGAGCTCCTTCCAATTTTCTGATATCAACATGATATATAAGAGCTTTAAAATATTTACAGAGCTTGAAACATGGCCAAGCAGTTAAGACAAGTTCATTCCCAGGAAGAAAATAAGGTTTTTGACATCTTCTAATTCCTGCAACAAGAGGTCTCACGTTCTTGGGAAGCAGCATGCATATACACATACCTACATAAAGACACACTGAATTCACAAAATTAAATATAAAACAATGCATTAAGCAAATTTTTTACTCATGAATGTTTTTCTCATGTAAGGGTTCGTTCTTGTAAACCGCATCACTGGGGATGGTCTTGAGAGTTTATATCCACACACTGTTTCCAGTACCCACTCTCTACTTCTTTCTATAGGTTAAGGATGTGAGCTCTAAGCTTCCTACTTTGGCTTCCATGTCTGAAACTTGTTGTCAAGCCACTTTCATGGTGAACTTGTATCAGTCTGTAACCATAAGCCAATTTAAACTCTTTCATAAGCTGTCCTAGACATTATTCTGTATCACAGTAACAGAAAAGGCACTAATATGCATCCATTAAGTTTTAAAACTGGAGATTAGTTATCTTATGGAATTGAAGAGAACTGTGAAATATAAAAAGATTAACTTATCACTTAAAATCATAGGGTTTTGTCCATATCAGTTTGCAGGTAAAAACAAAATAAAGAATGACATTATCATGAGTGAACAGTGTTGACACTATTCATATGTTTTTCTCCAGAATAATTAATCTTGTGTAACTGAATGTAATTTCATTGGCTAGTGATCTACCCAAAATCATGGTATTCACACTGTCTTCAATAGGTTTTCTTTATGTCCTCAGAGATTTTATGATATGCAAATGTTTTAACAGATTGATTAAACACTGCAGGTTTTTATCTTGTATAAAATTACCATGAAGTTTAACACAATACCATGCAAACTACACTTACAGGGTTCCTCTGAAGTATAATTTTTTCTCATGATTTCAAAAATTACTGCTATATGCAAAGGCTATATCATATTGTTTACATTCATAGGGTTTCTATCCAGCATGTCTTGTTTTATGTATTCAGAGATAATACAAGCTTTTTGAAAAAGCTTGATCAAATTTATTGCACCCATAGGTTTTTCTCTCCAGTATGTGTTATTCAAAGATGAGTGTACTATACATAGCCTTTATGGCATAGTGCAAATACATAGGGTCTTTTTTTTTTTTTTTACAACATTCATTCTATTCTTCAATTGGAGACAACTGTAATGTGAAAAGACTTTAACACCATGATTACATCCATAGGACTTCTTCCCAGTATGAATTCTTTCATGATGTTGAAGACTATAGACATATGCAAAGACTTCACCATATTAAATACATTCACAGGGTTTCTCTCCAGTATGAGCTTTTTATGATGAAGAACACTATAGAAATGGGCAAAGGGTTTACCATATTAAGTAAATTCATATAGTATTTCTCAGGTAAGAATTCTTTCATGCTTTAGAATGTTATTTTGATATGGAAATGCTATTACATATTACATTGATTACATTAATAGGTTTTCTTTCCAGAATGAATTCTTTTATGTCATCGAAGAACATAGTGTCACAAAAAGGTTTTGTCTCATTGATTACATTTGTAGGCTTTCTCTTCACTATGTGTTCTTTTGTGGCGTTGAAGATGAATGTGTTGCACAAAGGCTTTATTGCACTGATTACATTTGTATGGCTTCTCTCCAGTATGTGTTCTTTTATGGTCTTGAAGACTACTGTGGTTTGAGAAGGCTTTATTACATTCATTACACTTGTAGGGTTTCTCTCCAGTGTGTGTTCTTTTATGTACTTGTAGACTACAGTATTGTGAAAAGGCTTTATCACATTCATTACATTTGTAGGGTTTTTCTCCAGTGTGTGTTCTTTTATGTACTTGTAGACTACAGCGTCTTGAAAAAGCTTTATGACATTCATTACATTTGTAGGGTTTCTCTCCAGTATGTGTTCTTTCATGCCTTTGAAGTTTACTATGATATGGAAATGCTTTACCACATTGATTACATTCTAAAGGTTTCTCTCCACTATGTGTTCTTTTCTGCATTTGTAGATAACTGTGACGTGCAAAGGCTTTGCCACACTGAATGCGCTGAGAGGGCTCTTCTTCAGTATGAATTTTTTCATCCCTGTGAAGATAATTGTCACATGTATATGCTTTACCATGTTTATTACACTGATGAATCATTTTTACCATATGAATTCAATTCACAATTTGATCTAATTATAAAGAGGAATTAGATCTTAAGTATTTCACTTCATTTACATCCACGGTGTTCCCTTCATTGTGGGCTGTTTTGAATCTTTAAAGATACCTGTGTTAGTAGGGCCTTTTATAAAGCAGTTCACTCTGTTATTTTAGTAGCTATGGCTGCCATAGACATATATGTTGGAGTGCTTGGCACATAGGTAGTGGCATATTAGAATATGTGACCTTGGTGGAGTAAGTGTGACCTTGTTGGAGGAAGTGTGTTGCTGTGGATGTGGATTTGAAGTCTTATATCTCAAGCTATACCCAGGGTGTCACATAGTCTCCTGCTTCTTGCAGACAAAGATGCAGAACTCATCTACCTCTTCAGCACCATTTATGCCTGCATGCCACCATGTTTCCTGCCATAATGATAAAGGACTAAATCTCTGAAAATCTAAGCCAGCCCCAATGAAATGTTTTCATTTATCATAGTTGCCATGGTCATAGTGTCTCTTCACAAAAAGAGAAACTATAAATAAGATAGTTACACATATATCATTCCTTTTCTATATGAGGCTTTCAGACACTTGAAGAGAACAAGAAGAACTCAAGTTTAATACACTAATTGCATTCATACATTTTTCTATACTGAGTCATATTTAATTTTCAGTGTGAACCAAACCAGGATAAACAAAAGAATTTCCACAATCCTAGTACTCATAGGGCTTTTCTGAAATGTGCGTTTGTTAATGTATTCCCCATGAAGTTGAAAATGCAAGTAATTGTAAAAATATATCACATTCAGAAAGTATATTCAGAGTGGAGACTACTACATTTTCTACTTGATCTGGGAGAGAGAGATATGTTGCTTCTTTCTATATCCTTCAGCTCACAGAGCTTGTATTCTTTGTGTCACATGATATACGTAGTAAAGGAAAGGTTTCCAAAGCACATTCACACAATGACTTTTTGTTTCTTAGAGATATGTGGTATAGGAAATAATTTTCTCCAGAAGAACATTTTTGATTCTCAAAACTGCCCATATTACTAAACATAGAAAAGTCAGTAAACATATAAGAATAACACTAGCTTTACTCTTGAATATTTGATTATTAGAAAATTTTGAACATATACTAATTTACCTGTTCAATGTGTATACATTTTGAAATATCTGTGTATTATGAAACTAAACAGATTGGAAGTTCTAAGGCATAGCACATATTGGGCTATGAATCAAATGGTTATATCTGTTAAGGCATTGATTCCTTGTCTTCTTTCTAAGAGGAGTACTTTTCAAATGCAAATTCCCTACCTGACATTGTGGTACATGATATAGTGCTGATTTAGTATCACCAAACTGTAAATAAATAAAGCTGTGCTTGTTTACACTACTGTTTCTCTTTATAGCATCCAGGACACATTAAAATTTCTTCAGAGGTACAATTCTATGAGGCTGCACATGAAAATTACCTTTCATGTTGTGTAGAAATTTTATTAGGTTCTTCAATATTATTTTCTTCCCAATTGTAGCCTAAAATATAATACCAAAAATGTATGAAACATTTCAGAAATTATTCAAAATTTAAATATAATCTTCACTGAATCTTAGAACCATGACTGATTTATAATGTCATTCTTTCTCTTTCTCAATCAAAATTACAAAAGAGAATCAATTACCAAAAATAGTTGTTATTTTATGTTACAAAATGAAGTAAAATTCATAGTCTTACCTATATCAATGAGGTTTCTGTAGGTATCCAGCATCACTTCTTTGTAGAGATTCTTCTGGGAGGGGTCAAGCAAATCCCACTCATCCCAAGTGAAATTTACATGCACATCATCATAGGTCACTGCATTCTAAAATATCCCATATATATGTTCAATAGAAAGCATGATACAGACAACATTGTAAATTTATACTTTAATCAAAAAAGTAACTACTAACCTTAATTTTTACATTGGTAAGCACATTTGTATATTGATACAAATTTCAGCTTATTTTTCTTATACTATATATACATTTCTATTTTTGTTTAAGATATTTTTGTATATTGATACCAATTTAAGGTTATTTACTTTACACTGTAGATCTGTTTGTATTTTTTCTTGAGGTATTACATATACAGTGTGTACATCTATACAGTTTCTTGTGTTATAAAAAATGAAGTTTTAATCCTTAAAAGCTATTTAGGATAATAAAAAAATACAGACTGATAATCACCAGTAACTATCTAACTTATACTCAGTTATGTTTTAAGACTATACAGAGATATATTTCAGATAGATAGGTAATGTTCAAACCCTCAAAGATGTATAAAATATGACCTTTAAAATATTCTAATACTTGAGAGGCAGAGTCAGGTTGATTTCTGTGTGTTCAAGGCCAGGCTAGTTTATAGAGCAAGTGCCAGGATAGGCTCCAAAGCTACACAGAGAAACCCTGTCTCAACAAACCAAAAAAATTTCTAATAACTGAGACTTTTCTCAACATGAGACATGTCTGCTTCTAGTAGCAACAATCTACTTCAAAAGAGGATATTGGCCATTAAAGAATCTTCACGTGGAGTTCTTTTCCTTCCTTCCATGCTTTCTTACTTTCTTTCTTTCTTTTTGTTTTTTTGAGACAGGGTTTCTGTCTACCTTTGGCACCAGTCCTGGAATTTGCTCTGTAGACAAGGCTGGTCATGAACTCACAGATATTCACCTGTTTCTCCCTCCCAAGTACTGGGATTAAAGGCATGTGCCACCCTGCCCAGAGAGTTCTCTGTCTTTATGGCAAAAGCTAGCCATTTGGGCAAAAAACTGCACTTGTATCAACTGCTAACAATTTGATGAGCAAACTGGACAAGCAGGACACAAAGAAAAGCCACTGTTGAAGTAGGCCAAGACAGGGTAGGATAGTCCTTCAGAACTTCTGCTTCTAAAAAGAAAAGTCTGTCATATATTTTAGTTCTGTAAGTCAAAGTTAGAACCTCAACATCACAGAAGAACCTAGGGTGACTGTCCAGACAAGCAGATATCCCTGTCACTAAGTAACATTACAGCCTTCTGGGGTCTTTGATAGATACCAGATAGTTGTAGTTTTCCTTAGTTATGATGGAAAGTAAATTAGGTACAAAACTTTGGACTCACAAAGTTAGATAATAGAGTACTTACCCTAATTTTTCCAAATACAAATGGAGTAGATATTGTAAATGCAATTCTTATAAGTAACTATTTTTAAAATATGGTTACTGAATTAAAGGTAAAGTCTTCCTTTTACTTAGATAAGAGGGCAGAAATGCTGTGGAACAGACTTTTTGTACATAATGAATATGTATAAATCTCATTAGGCAGTATAGACCTTACTGGCCTACAGCTGGGCAGGATGAGCTTAAGTACAAAAAACAAACTAAGAGTACGTCCATTGGAAGAAAGCAGGGTTGCATTCAGAGTAGTCACCAGAGACACAGAAGGTGGTATGGCCTACAATATATAGAGAATATCAGGGCTGAGGAAGATATCAGAGAAACATCACCCTTTACAATAGCCACAAACAACATATCTTGGGGTAACTCTAACCAAGCAGGTGAAAGATATATGACAAGAACTTTGAGTGATTAAGGAAAGAAATTAAAAAATATACCAGAAAATGGAAAGATCTCCCATGCTCTTGGATAGGTAGGATCAACATAGTTAAAATGGGGATCTTACCAAAACCAATCAACAGATTCAACAGAATCCATGTCAAAATCCTGTCACAATTCTTCACAGACCTTGAAAGGACAATACTCAACTTTATATGGTAAAACAAAAGACACAGGATAGTCAAAACAACCCTGTTCAATAAAGGAAATTCCAGAGGCATCACCATCCCTGGCTTCAAGCTCTACTATAGAGCTATAGCTATGAAAACGGCTTGGTATAGGCACAAAAATAGACAGGTCAACCAATGTAAATAGAACTGAACACCCTAATACTAACCCAAAACACCTTATCTTTGACAAAGAAGCTAAAACTCTACAATGGAAAAAAGAATGCATCTTCAACAAATGGTGCTGGAATAACTGGATGCTGGCATGTAGAAGACTGCAGATAGATCCATATCTATTGTTATAAACAAAACTTAAATCCATATGGTTCAAAGACTTCAACATGAATCCAGCCACACTGAAACTCTTAGAAGAGAAAGGGGAGGTACCCATGAAGAATTGGTACAGGAGACTGCTTCCTGAGCATAACACCTATAGCACAGGCACTGAGAATGAAAATTAATAAATGGGACCTCCTAAAACTGAGAAGCTTTTATAAGTAAGCAAATGACACAGTCAACAAGACAAAATAGCAGCCCACAGAATAGGAAAAGATCTTCACCAACCCCACATCAGACAGAGGGCTGATCTCTAAAATATACAAAGAAATCAAGAAGCTAGTCACCAAAACACCAAATAACCAAATTAAAAAGTGGAGTGTAGAACTAAATAGAGAATTCTCAATAGAGTAGTCTAAAATGGCTGAAAGACACTTAAGAAATTGCTCAACATCCTTAGCCATAAAGAAATGCAAATCAAAACAACTCTGAGATACCTTCTTACACCTGTCAGAATGGCTAAGATCAAAAACAACAACAGTCTATGCTGGAGAGGATGTAGAGAAAGGGGAACCCTTATCCATTGCTGGTGGGAGTGCCAACTCATACAGCCTCTTTGGAAATCAGTATGGTGTTTTCTGCAGAACATGGAATCAGTCTACCTCAAGATCCAACTATTCCACTCTAAGGCATATACCCAAAAATGCACATTCATACTACATGTGGGGTATAGAACCAAACAGAGAATTCTCAATAGAGGAATGCTCAGCTATGTTCATAGCAGCATTATTTGTAATAGCCAGAACCTGAAAACAACCTAGAT